TCTTTTTACCTCCCATCATTCCTCTTCATCTTTCCATCACTCTTTTTCGTCTCCCATCACTCCTTTTCGTCTCCCAACACTTCTTTTTGCCTCCCATCATTCCTCTTCATCTTTCCATCACCCTTTTTCGTCTCCCATCACTCCTCTCCATCTTTCCATCACTCTTTTCATCTCCCATCGTTCCTTTTCGTCTCCCATCACTCCTCTTCATCTTTCTATCACTCCTTTTCGTCTCCCATCACTGGTCATTTTTTTTTTACAATAACTTCCACTTAAAAGATCTTTCAAAAGTATGTCAAGCTCCCCCATGAAAATGACCTCTTGTTTATACATATATTTACTAAAATCATAGACAATTCCAAATTCGGTAAAATCACATTTGTTAATTCCATAAACTTCATATAAATATGACCAAAAATCTGGATGATCTTTCATAAAATAACCAATAAATGTAAATCCAATAATATAATTTAAAAGTGATTTTGCTTTACTATACTCTTTTAATTCAATACAAATTTTGCATTTAATAAAACGTAGAAATTCATTTTCATAAAGACTATAATTATAAATTTGATCGATTTTTGTGTATATATTGTTTAAATCTTTAGAACTATTTTTATTTAGTAAGTATTCTAGATGAAATAACTGAATCTTTGCTAAAATATTATCAGAATTCAATAATTCTGCATACTTTTTAAATGATACTTTAGCATTGTTATTATCATTCTTTGTATAATACATTAAACTTTTAAGATAATATGCTGAACTATTTAATGGATCTAATTGTATAATTTTATCAAGATCTGATAATACTTTATCATATTCCTTAATAACACAGTATGTAATAGCTCTCCTATTCAAGTTATGAACGTTTTCTGGATCTATAGTATAAGCTTTTGTAAAGTATGATATAGCTTTTCTATATTGTGTCATATTATATAAAATTTCTCCATAATAACATAAAACCAAAGAATCCTTATTGATATTTAATAATTTATCTAATAAATTTAATGTATTTTAATAATCTTCTTTTTTTTCATAATTTTATGCTCAATTTTTAAGTCATAAATAATTATTTGGATCATTTTTTAATGCAATATTACAATTTTCTATAGCTTCTGTATAATCAATATAACCATTAGAATATTTACGTAATAAGTGACTATTTCCGAGTAATATATATAGGTTATTTATTTTTGATTTAAGTTCTAATGATTTTTTTATATTACCTATTGCTTCATCATATTTACTTTGCCTAAAAAATATTTCTCCACAAATAAAATAAGCAACTGGTCTTTTGGGATTTAAATCAATAGCTTCTTTTAAAAATAATTGTGCTTGCTCATAATTGTTAAGACATCTATAAATATACGCTAAAATACATCTTAAAGAATAACTTCTAGGAAAAAAATTTATAAATTCTTTGCATAAAGATTCAGCTTTTTCATAATTTTTTTCAATTATTTCTTTTATAATACTTTGGTATGTTGGATGTTGTTTTTTTGTAATTCTTGAAAGTATTGGGGATGATATTTTTGAATTTAATTTAATAATTGAACTCACAAATTTCTTTTTTTTAGTTAATATGAGTTCAACTTCCAAATTATCTGAATCATCACTGTCATATAATTGATCAGAATTTTCTAATTCAATTGAAGGTAAAATATGACCGGATTCAAGAAATTTTGTATATAAATTTTTATAAATTGAATTTTGTCGTAAATATCTAATATCATTATCTTCAATTTTTTCTCGACAATTAGGACATATCTTTTGCTTTAATTTTTTTAAATTACTTAATGCTAAAATATGTTGGCATTTTAAAATACATAATCGATCTGTTGGTTCATTACTAATTGGACAAGTAATTTCATCTGCTATAATATCTAAAATGTTAGAACTTATTTGTTCTTTCTTTAAATATAAATTTTGATTTGAGTTTTTTCCTTTTCTCTCTTTTCCTTTTCCAGTATTATCAATTAGAATTTTTAAATCTTCAAGGTATTTCTCTTTAACAAAAGTTAATAAATTTCGAAATTTTTCTAAAGGTTCTTCCAAATTATTTTCACTTAATTTTTGTACGTATTGATCAAAATCAATTTCAATCATTGAAAACATTTTATTATCAATATTATATAAATGTAATAATAATTCAATAGATTTAAACTGAATAAAACTACTTGGTGATTTATTAAGTGATTCAATTGCTAAATAATAACAAAGACCATATGTTGCTATTCGAGATGATCTTTGGATAAGATTTTGGGCAAGATCTAATATTCCAAACCATAGAGTATGTGGTAATGCTATAGGTTCATTTCCAGCAAGTTCGTTTAAAAAACCTCCAGCATTTTTCAAAGCTTTAGCGACTTTATTTGATACTTCATCAAATTTTGATTGAGAATCCAAAATAGATTTGTCCGCAACATCAACCCATTCTCTTTCCAAAAAGTTCCAAATATATTCCATTAATACCAATTCTCCAAATTTTTTACTTATAATCTTTTCAGAACTTCCAGACCAAATGAAAAGATTTTGTTGAATTATTAACATAATTCTCCAATCTATATAATAAGATGCTACTGGATATTTAAAACTAAAACTTTGACGAATTTGAGTAAGTATTGATAAAATTGAACAATCATTCGGAAGATTGACTCCTGCTATTGTCAGAATTCCTGGTGTAATATTCAATGCAGTCTTAAGCAATTCTCTAATTCTTCGTATAATTTCTTGAAACCAAGTCTCATCATCACGTAAACTATGAAGAGTATCTCGCAAATGGATTAATAAAAAATCAATATTATAATTACGCTTTTTAATTGCAATTTGATCATTATTTTGTTGATTGAATTGATTAAAATTTGATCTAAAATTATTATCAAGTCCTATTTCAATAACCTGAGTTGTTTTACGATGAATTTCTGCAAATTTTGCCAAAGAATTATAAACTTTATCTCGAAGTTCTTTACTAAGTACTATTGGTGAAAAACATATCCGTTCTAAAACAGTAACCAAAATTCTTAAATGTANGATAACCTGAGTTGTTTTACGATGAATTTCTGCAAATTTTGCCAAAGAATTATAAACTTTATCTCGAAGTTCTTTACTAAGTACTATTGGTGAAAAACATATCCGTTCTAAAACAGTAACCAAAATTCTTAAATGTAATTCCAATCTAGCTACACTTTCTTTTGAATAATGTTTAAAAGAAGTATCAACTAAAGCTTCTAATGAATTTTCTAAAACTTGAGACGAAAACTCATTTTGTAAATTTTCAAAAAGTAATTTAAGTGCATACAAATAGCTTGGTTTAGTTAGATTTTTTAAAAGTTCTTCTACTTTATCATCTGGCGTAGTGAATCCATCCTCTTCTAATTTAAGAAGGAGTATATTTTCATGAAAAATCGTTTTATATGAAACAGGGTCATCATTTTCTAAGCTATCAGAAGCAGTATTAGTAGAATAATTTCCACTCTATTATTATATAAAGTTAGTTTTAATGATATGCAATTAATCAAATTTTAATATTGTTTAAATAATAATTTACCTGACTTGAACTTCCTTCCATATTTTTTATTACAAAAAGAAGTAAGAAAAAATTTTATTATACTGACAGAATTAGTAAAATTATAACCAAAATGTACGTAACATAATAACGTGAATTTGTACTCATTCAAGAGTGTATTACTACTTCAGTATTTATTTAATGTAACATGTCGCAAAATATTTGTAAAAATTTGGGCGTAAATTCTAAGCGCTGATCAGTGTGACTTCATTGGTTATTCTTTTTCTTCTCTTTTCTTTTTAAGTACTGACCCGTCGCGTTGCGCCAGCAGGGATAATACTTGCCCATCAAGTAAGAGAGTAATAATAAACACTTATATTTTATTTGCCATGTAGTGTGTAGTGTGAATAGGTCTAGTTTTTTACTATTATTATGATAGCACTAGTAGGAAATAAATGTAATAAATTACACAATTTATATGATTGTACAAATAACAATGAATTGTGTACGAGTATTATACAGTATATGAAATATTACTATTAAATGCAAATTTTATTTATCACACAAAATAAATGTTGCAGTACTGTGAAATTTATGATTTATTTATATAATTACAAATTCATTACAAGACAATTTTGTATAGTAATTTATTGTTACATTGTCACAAAAAAATTTTTTTATCGTAAAAAAATTCTATTGTAGCATTAAAAAAAATTACATCCTCTGTTGAAAAAAAATACATATATATTGTTACCATATCTCAAGAAATTCATTATAGAAATCTATTGTTATAGAAAAAAATATCTCACTAATTAATATGAAAAAAAAAAAATTCCCAGAAAAACTAATTATAACGAACTAATTTACATGAAAAAAAACAATTCCCCCAGAAATATTAATTATAACCGATCTATTGTTACAAAAATAAATAAATAATTATGTTAGTCTATTATTGAGTTTGATACAGCCTATTATTATTAACAAGAATTGGGAAAAAAGGCAATTGCCATAGTGGCCCAGCATCGGTCCAAACCTAAATGGTGAAAGAATGTATTCGAGAAAAAAAAATTCGGTTTGAAAAAAGAAAAGGAAAAGTGGAAAAAATTTTCGGATTGGAAAAAAGCCAACCGGAAAAAAAATACAAAAAAATAAAAACGAAAAAAAAAATTTGTAGGGAGGGACAAAGAGTAAAATCAGGTTGAAAAAAGAGGAAAATTCGAAAGAAAAAGAAAAAAAAAATTTGGGGAAAGAATAAGGATAAACAAAGAAATCGGTCTAAAAAAAAGATCAATATAAGTCTTAAAAGACCGAAACAATAGTATTATTTAATAAAAAAAAATAATATTATTAATTTTTTCGGTTTTTTTCCAACCAATCTAAAATGGAGATCTAAATGGAGAAAGCAAAAAAAAAAAAATAAAAAAAGAGGAAAAAAAATGAAAAATTTTAAAGAAAAAACCAAAGTAAAAGATCGGTTCCAAAAATTTCATTAACCGGAATTAACCGGAATTGGATTAGATGTACATGACTTGCCGATCAAGTAGGTCTTAACTATAAAAAATACGGATCAGCAATTCAAAATTAATTTATACAGGCTAATCTAAACGTTAGTCACACAAACACCATTTTTTTAATTATATAGATTATAGATTCCCAAATGTTATTATTTGTACGTCAAATACCGGGAGGGCTTAGAGCGTGGCGTAAAAAATGTTCTGAATTAATTGGAAACATGAAATGCTTAATAGTAGTAAGGTGGAAGATCTTTTTTTTTATAATTACAAAGATGAATTCGGAGTAGAACGTTACAATTTATAAGTAATCGAAATAATTATACATCATGGGAAACTGACAAAGAAGATGTATGGGAACGAACGTACAAAATTAAAAATTTTTTAAAGGATTTACCGTCGTACGAGGTTCTTTTTAAAAGAGATGTGAATAAGATAGAAACAGATCAATGTATTAGATGTAAGAATGGAATTGAAAATTGGGAACATATATGGGATCTGTGAAAAGAATGAGTCAACGATTAAAGAAGTCTTAGAACGTTCTTGAAGACCGTCTATCGAATGATGGAAATTATGAAAAAATCAAATTATTAATTTTATTTTTCTAAAGATTTTATATAAAAAATCAGAAATTCTTGTTGGGAAAGAAAAATATTGGGAATTGATTAGAAGAGTTTACAATTGTAAATTTAATAAGGCCTCAAAAGATAAAGAAGAAAAAGAAATGATTAATGAGCTTTGGAATTTCTGTTTCAATGAGTTAAAGAAGAAATTTTGGATAAAAGGGTGTAATGAAATTAACGAAATAGAACAGAATTTAGGTATTAAAAAATGTGAAAAAAGAGTTAGGAAAATTGTAGATAGGGACGTATATAAAGAAGAAAATACAAGAAAAAAATTAAAAAATAACGAAAAAATCAAAAATAGAGAATATAATATTAAATTAGTAACAAAAGATAAAATAATTGGTAGGTTCACAGAAGGAAAAGATACGAAAAGTTGGAATGTAATTAGTTTAGCTTTTATTTTAGAATAGATTAGATAGATAGTAATTAGTTTTTGTTCGAAAACTTTAGTTATAGGATAAATTAATTGCCAATCCGCCTGATTGGTAGATCCGTCGCAAGTTCTTATATGAATGACGTCGATCGGCACATTTCAACTCCGATTTTGTCCTACATAAGTCATGCTTAATGTAACCATACTTTACCAATCAATAATGCCAAACGTGATATGTCACAAAAAAAATTTTTTTTTTCGTTTGTTATAAAATTTAAAGAGTTTACTTTGGAGGAAGTCACCATTCCAGCTCATATTTTAATATACGTTATATTCTTGCTTAGATTAGAGTGTCCAGGATAGAACGGTCACACCTTTTTCACACTTTTTGTTATTTTTTCACACTTTTGGTGTGGCCGCATTTTTTGGCAAAGTTTCACATTTTTCACACTATCCGCAGTAAATTGAGTTTTATTGGTCGATTGATGATCACATGATTGGTTTTCGTTTATCAAATTTTGGCTCGAATTAAGATAGCGAATTTGAAGTTAAAATTATTATGTTAATTCCAGCCGAAATTACGCTAAATCTGGCCAGAATTAAAAATCGCACCAAACCACACTTTTTGTTTAAATCACACCACACTTTTCGGGCCATCACACCATGAAATTCTGGACACCCTAGTAATGACGCAATGATACCTCGCAAAAATTCAAGGTTTCTGCAAAG